AGCTCCCCCGCTCCCCAGGACCACCGGTTCGAGCCCCGGCTGGGGCTGCACCGCACCGCCGCGGGCTGCGGGGGCCCTTCTTCCCCTTCTCTCCCCCGTCACGTCGAAAGCCATCCGAGGCGTCGCGCCCAGGTGAAAACCTCCAGCCCACGGGAGCGTGGCCCTCCCCGCCCCACAGCGCTGGCAGACACCGGCTCCCCTCCGCCGCAGCGCCGAGCGGTGAGGAGGGGTACGCTGCGTGTGCGAGGGGTGAGTTTACCCCCGCGCCGCGGAGGTCTGGGCGTCCCGTTGCGTTAGTTGCGGAGGCAGCCCGCAGGACCCCGCAACCGGCGGCGGAGGAGCTCAGCCCCGAGGCGGCGGGAAGGGGGGAGATACTCACTGTGAAAGAAGCTGCGCCCATGGGTCATGTCTGTTCCTTACACAAGGGGCTTCGGTCTCCACTAATTCCATTTAGATACGGGAGGACTTCCAGTGGCGGGGAGAGGATGGAAGTAGGAAAAGAAGAAAAGAAAAAAAAAAAAATATCCCGAAGCCCACACACAGCAGAGCGGAGCAGCCTTTCCTCTCGCCCGCTCTCCCTCACCGCCTTCAAATAATCACTGCCGGCTCAATCCCATAACACCCGAGCTACCATCAGCACCACCATGAGCGTTGCATCGCGGCGGCGGGCAAGGCGGCGGCGGCGGCGGCGGCCCGCGCATCCAGGTGCCGGCGGGCGGCGGCGGCGGGGCGAGCTGAGCCCCTAGTCACCAGTTTCGTACAAAACCAAAAGCAGATGGAAGCATTTCCTGCAGGACTCCGAGCCCAGCGACTTCCAGCCCTTCGGCTTCTTTTGATGCATTGAAGAAGGGATTAATGGGTCCGTCATCAGCTCCCTGTGCTTGCTCCTCTGAAGGGGTGGGGGCGGGCAGGAGGGAACCCAAAGAGGAGGGGTGGGGGGAAGAAAGATTTACCAAATAGGGGATTTAGTCATATTTGTGTGCAATGCGATCCTTATTAGAGAAGAAATCCTTTAAAATCGAACAAATCCATTTTTGCAAAGCCCTCTCCCCGTGCGTAGCATAGTATCAAGTGGTAGCAACATCAAGAGGCTGAAAACACATTGCACCGTCTGAAATCCTCTCGGGAATGGATGGAGCGAGATTGAGATGGATGAGGATAGAGAGATGTCCCCTCACTTCTCCACTCCAGGGCGAGAAGCAGAAGAAAACCCTGGAGACTCTCCCATTCATTCAGTGCAGGGGAAGGGGAAGGGGAGGGGAAGGGCGGGAGGGTGGCGGTGAGGGGGAAAGAATGATTTCAAAACTGGGAAAGGAAGAGTAAGAGGAGAGGGATCGTTTCCCCTCCCCTCATCAGTTCATGGACCAGACATGACTTCCTCCTTAAACTGCACCTGCCAAAGGGAAATTGAAAAGATTTTCCCCTTTGAGAGGCTACTTCTCCATTTACACACCCACACACGTACACACACACACACACAGACACACGCACACACAGAGACGCACAAAAGGGAGCAATAAAGTTTAGCTGCTAATCCTCGGGCCGCAGATACAATGATTGCCTCTTCCAATCAGCCCAGAGACGGCAGCAAAATCTCTCCCTTTCACTCCCCCCTCCCTTTCTCGGGCTGATCTTCCTCCCCAGCTACATCCCTCTCCAAACACCCACCCTTCTGACGAGGTTGCGAAGGGCTAGTGGCCAAGGCGGGAAGGGAGGGGGGAGAGTAGGGTAGGGAAAACATATTAATAATAAGAGAATTGAGAGGAACTGAAGTGATCTCAGCAAAAAAAGCAAGAGAAGAGGAGGAGTGGATGAAGAGAAAGGGCAGCGTCCCCTTTTGGCCCCGGGAGCCGGCCCTGCAGGGCCTCGGCCGCCGGCCGCCGTCTCCCGCAACGCCGCGGCCCCCGCGCCCCCGAACCGGGCAAGGGGAGGGCGGCGGGGATGGGATAGACAGGAGGGGCGGGAGACCGCTACGGGGGCGGCGGGGAGAGCCGAGGAGAAAGGAAGGTTGGTGGCACAGAAATGCGAGGGGAGCAGGATGGGATCCCCCCCGACCCCTCTGCACCGCTGCGGCGGCGGCGGCGAGGCCGGGACAGACCAGGCGCGGAAGAGCCGCCAACCGCCCCCCGCGGGGATGCGGGGCGCAGCCGGGAGACCTGGGGCTCGGAGCGCAGCCAGCCCCTTCCCCGGGCTCCCCACGCCCCCACCAGCACCTCGGAGCTCGGGGCGAGCCCGCTCCTCCGCCCGCACCTGATGCTCACACCGTTCGCAAGGAGAAAAGTGTCCGGAGGGGCGCAGCCGGGGCGAGGGGGGGTCGGGAGAGTGTTGGGGAGGAGGCTGGAAATCCAGTCAAAATAAAGTGCCGTCCAGGCTCCACCTTTGCGCGGATGAGGAAGAGCAGAGCGCAGGTTAGACGGGGGCGATCTGTGCTGGCAGAGGCGCCGCTCGCCGCCGGGCGAGAGGCAGTGCGCACCCGCGGAGCCGGGCTGCTGGCGGCGTCGGGGTCCCCAGCCCGGGGTCTGTCGGCTGCTGGTGGGCGATAATTGCGGAGTGGGGTTACCTGTTGTCTTTAGGGCAGCTTTTAAATGAGGCGAGTACCTATGCTGCCGCTGGGACAGCACTGAACCGCACAACTGCTAGTCCAGAAGGTGAGGATGAGGAAGCCTTGATTTTTTTTTATTTTATTTTTTTTTTTTCCGCTGAATCGCAGTGTTTTAACAAAGAATTTCAGGGTTTTGTTTTGTTTTTGTTTTTCAGCCTGTGGATTGTCTGTTCTGTACTCTGAAATCAGGTCGATCGATGACCATCGATGGTCAGCAATAGCAGCACGCACATTAAGATAAGTCTGAAGTGATCTTGGCTGGCAGAATTCATCCATTCAACCAGCCGGCCAGCCATTACCCCAGCCAGTCTGAGCATTTAAAAATCCTGCTGGGTGAGAAGGGCACAGGATTCAGCCACAGGGTTCTGCAGTAAGCTCCTTACAGTGAGGAATATAGAGGATATAGGACGCCATGAAAGGATTCACCTATGTTTTCTGTAATCTGCCTTGACATTAGCAACATCATCTGCAGCTGTTAATCTTAATAAACTGTCCTACTCTGCTTTCCAACCCTCTCAGCACTTTCTCTGACCTTCCCCATACTCTCTCGCCTCAAGTTAAAGAACTTCATTTGTGCAGTAATTGAAAGTCACCTGATTTATCCATAGGATAAACTTCCATAATACAGATGTGTAGTCTGCTTTAGTCAAGCAACAGTAGAGTAACTTAAAAACGATAGCGTTGAAAACAGTCATAGGAGTGTTTATAGACAGTCAGATATTTCTTCTGCAAGATGATGCAGACATCCATATGGCTAAGTTTCAAGTTATAGTTGCTTAACAAAAAAAAAAAGGGTTATAGAACAAGTAGGCACAAAACAGCTGATTTTGCTGTTCTGGGAAAATGTGCTGTGTCACATCATATAACAGTGAGCTTCAACATTTTTCCTTTTCTGAAAGAGAATGCTTTCATCTTTAAAGGTCTTAGATCTCTTTTCATTGGCACTTTTAATTTTAAGGACACCATTGCAAGAGTATTGACAAATAGCATGTGGTGCATATCAGGTATGTTTAAAATGTGCCTAAATGTAATTGGTCACTGCCATTATGGAGTGAGACATCAGCAAAATAGCTCAGGAATGGCCACAGTGACCATTGCATGTTCTGCTAATGAGACCTTAAGGGGATATCTCAGGATCTACAAAACTGGATGCTAAAAGCTTGTTTAAATGTGTTTCTAAGCAAGCACACAGGGTTTTTAAGTTAGAGACTGGTCAAAATCACTTTCTACCTCAATAGATCTCCACCCTGTAGAGAGTCTGAAATTTTGAACTTTGTACAACTACTAAAGTCTTCACCACCACATTTTTTGCTTGGTGTCTCATTATGTTACAAAATCTGTTTATATCAGTTTTGATAAATACTCTTTTTAAAAGGGTAGTAACTCAGCAGCCAGCACGCACTTTTCACTACCATGGTTTTGTATAGGCAATTATTTATTTACTTAGTGTGTATTTTTTCTATCCTTAATTAACAAGTAACTGTACTCTTATATTTCTACTATGTAGTAAACTAAAAAAAAGAGAAAGGGAGTCACATTTAATAAAACATGAAATATAAAAAAGAAAATAATTAATGGAAAAGAATATTGACCATAAACAATTGTCTCAAACAACATTTTAGTATTGTTTGGAATCCTTTGGATTTTACTTGGTAAGAGTCCTATTGATTTTTAATGTGGTTAACTTTTTCTGAAGTTTTAAGTTTTGCATTTTCCTTAGAGTAAGAACATTGCCTTATTTTATTACATGGAATGACAGCCACACTTTTAGTTAGAAATGTACTTTGATTATTTCTTTACTGTATGTCAGCTGAAATCTTATTTTTAAAAATAAGCAAGACAACCAAACACAATTATGTTCCTTGATTCAGTACGCAAAATGTTACTCTTTGTAGTTTCAAACCATCCATTACATGGTAATCTTTTCATATAGTGCATTCTGTCAGGTGCTCTCTTTGATTTTCACAGCTGAGTTTTTCTATTGACTTTTATGGGAGTTTGCTTGAACCCAGAATATTTAATTCAGCAGTACATGAAGCACTTCCTTCCTGAGGTCAAACATCTTTAGGGTAACCTAAGACACTGATCAGCCCGAGGATGGCTAGCATAGCTGACAGGAGATCAATTTGGAGACCAATTTAAGCACTAGGGAACATTTTTAAATTGAGGTTACAAAATGAAAATAGACAAACAAATATAAAAATATTTCTAACAGCTTTGTCAGAAACAGTCATGTACAGTCTCCTACTAAGAGCCTCTGAACTGTGTTATGCTGGTGTTTCAATCACAAGAAAAGAAAAAAAAAAATTGCCTTGCCTTCCCCCTTCTGTGGTTAATCTATGTATTTATATGAAAAATAGCACAAGTTAAGTCCTGGGCAACTGGCTGTAGGTCGCCCTATCTGAGCCAGGGGTGTTGGACCAAATGACCTGCAGAGGTCCCTTCCCACCTCATCCATTCCATGATTCTGTGATTCTGTGAGCAAGCACTGAGGGACAATGGAGCATACAGGAGGGAAATGGTTTCATTTTTATGGTTAGTGAAAAAAAGAAACTCCTTAATATTCAGGATTGAATTATCTTGCTTTCATTTGTCACATATAACAGAATTAGATTATGTATCTGGATTATCTTCTTCTTGAACCAGAGGAGATTATCCAATCTCAGTTAAAATGGCAAATTATTCAGTTGCTGTTAAAAATTCCCCAATGTGGGGACATCCTAGGTAAATTGTCCCTGTACCTTTTCCTGTTAAAATCTTTCTTATGAAACCAGCATTTATACATTTTCTTTGGCCATTTCAGATAGTCTTGTCTTATCTTTCCTCTGCCATTGACTACTGTTCTAACTATGCCCCTTAATAACTAAGTTAATTAATTCCTCTTTGTGTAGGTAAAAGACTCAAAGGAATCAAAGTAGCCATGAGTTACTCCCACTTTCCTACCAAAAGACTCCTCAAAGTGCAAGAAACAGTGAAGTTGTGAAATGGAGGAGATATTGGCTTCCTGATTTATGAAGAGCAATCTACCCATCTGAGGGTGGAAGAGAAGAAATGAGAGAGCGATATTTCACTTCTGTACACTTCTTTAAAAACAGTGTGAATTCCGTGCTGACGTATGTAATCGCAGATACACTTTTTGTCACGATCTCTTTGTGAATGGTGTTTGTAGCTAGAACGTAGCAGATCCAAACTTTCAGGCTCAGAATAATACAGCTATACACAGTGTGACATTTGGAAACACTAAAATGAGCCACCAAGCTGAGCAGCACATCTATGTTCGTGTTTTAGTTCAGATTGGGAATGTGGTTTTGAAGTGAATCTTCCAATTGCCCCCACTTGCCATATTTTGGATTGCAAATTGGAGCAGTCTTGAGTGTGTGAGCTGTAATACTTATGGATGAAACTAAACTGAGAGATGTGTTCCACAAGCACAGTCTGTTTTCCAGCTTCTAAAGGGCATGCAGTCCACGGGAACAGTAAAACTGATGCTAAATAAATACCCCTCAAAATAGCTACAGAGAAGGCATGGAGATCTCAGTATCAACCATTTCACCTTTCAGATAAGCTTCTTTTGCTCTGAGTTACTTATTAATGTGGACTTACCCACTATTTCCTTCAACTGGGATAGAAGCTGAGACAACAAAACCTGAAATACACTCCATTCTTTTTGTGCTGAAACACCTACTGAGAGGCATAA